CCCGTATGTTTTTCGCGTGCCGACAAGGGCGGAATCATGGCGAACGCTCGTAATTCTCTTCCATTCGCGGCGGAGCGGGTGCGGATCATACGGGGTGCACAGGGAGCATGAGCAAGGGGAGGGGGAGGAGGGGTGAAGCGGAGGAGGGGGAAGGGGATAGAAAGGGGGCGCCTTTCCCTGCCCCTGTTCGCCTCCTCCTCTTCACCCCTCCTCACGCTACGCTCTTTCGCAGGGCATAGTGGAAGCACCCAGGGGCAATTGAAACTCACGGCCATTTACTGCATTTCAATAATGGTTTCCCATCTCCCTCTCCGCGGCAGCCCCGCATCCCGCGCCTCTTACTGCACCACCACCGCACCCTCTCCCGTCTCTCCTCCTCACTCCACGCGTGCAACACGAGAGTTCGGGTTGCACAGTCGATTTACTACGAGCTTTATGGTACACACCGTGCGAGAGCACGCAGAAGTACCCTACGGCCAACTATCCCCCGCGCCATGGCAACTGTATTATTCCCCGTAAACTATCCCGGGCCACGCGCGTGCACGCACGTATCCATGCACGTGTAACGCAGCGATTTTTACGCTTCCCAAAAAGCTCGTTAGTACGTCGAGAAGCACGTGGCCGCTATTTCTGAGCGACCACGAGAACGGTGGAAGAAACGGAAGTCGGAACCCGCGCGAATTTCGGTCGTCTCCGTTCAATCGCTGATACTATGAGCACATGAAAAAATGATTCTATTGAAATATGTATCTAAAATTTTAACCGGTTACACACACACACACACACACACACACACACACACAGATTTGAAAATAATTTTATTAAACTATCAAAATAATTATATAAAACGCTTTAAACGTTGCTAAATGTTTAATATTCTAACAAGAGCGTCCTACATAATTATTTTGATGGTCCGATTGAACATAATTATTTTCAGATCTGTATCTATGTATATCTAGATACAGATATTTCAACAAATCGTTCGTTTGATATCCCTGGTAAAAATTTCATGCGTTCTTTTAACAATTATTGGACAATTATATTAACTTTATTTAATAACTGAGAAATAAAGTTATTTAGGAACCTTAGGATTCCAATCTAGATCTAACACCTTATCTGCTGCGCACAAAAGATGCGTAAAATTGGAACTTACTTATTGAACAAACAGGACAAATAGATTATACAGTATTTTAACTAATGATAGTCTATTCACATGTATAACTAGATATAATAATTGGACAGATGTTTATGCAAGTTGTACATATTTTTATCAGACTGTTTCAGTCGCTGAATAAAATTCTTATCAATTAAGTTCTTGTCCATTTCCTATGCAATATTTTTACAATTAATGAGAATACTAGATAGTAACTAGATGGATGTTTAGGAAAACTGCATACATTTCTACCAGGGAGGGGAGATGTAGAATTAACTAAATTAAAATTCATAAATATTTGCAAAAATATTCGTACGAATTAAAACGCAAAATTTGAATTAAACTAATATAGAAGTATTTTAATAACGCAACATCTTCGATCTAATTTTCATGGAGAAAAAATCCATAATTAATTAGTTTTCAATATTCATCAAACGTGCGAATCTTTTACAAGTCGTTATGAAGCAACCAATGAATAAGCGAATAACTGTAAACCACAAAATGAATATCGATTAAGCGATCGAGAGCGTCACGCTTCTGTAATATGTAGGATCATTTTAGAAGCACTATCGGAGACGGATAATTGAGATGGATATTGAATCGTCGACGTGTCGCATTTCCGTGGGCTCATTGCCGTCTGGTATACAGATACATTCACACAATCGGCAATAGGTACGATATGTAACGGTTTCAGTAAATTTGAAATCGGCCAAATCGCCCGCAGACAATGGACGAAACAAATTTCGCCCATTAGCAACCGACGGAGGATACGTGTCACGCTGCAGTTGTCGTCAATACAAATATCTGCTCGCGAGATGTGCCCATATTCGTCTGGATACCTTCCACACGTTTCCATACATATGCGCATATGTACGCGCGCGAATGCACGGATAAAAAAAAAGACCTCGGATTTATTCCGCAAAATCGCGACAAGTCCGAAAATATATATATATATATGCATATATATATATATATATCCTGGCTATAAATATGACGATTCAGATTACAGATACGGCTGGCCGAATTGAACGTCCACAAATTTATTCGTATCTTGGACAGGAACAGAAAAGAATTGAACGATTTCCCTGCTGATTTCCGCATCCCCCGATTTGAGAGACTAGAGACGCCATTGCTATATATACCGCCAAATGAATTTCCCGTCGACTCCTCTATATCGATCCGTCTATTCTCCGCGATCTAGCCTCTCGCCATTTTTACGAATGTTCGGACGCGCGTCAAATGGAGCATACATTGTAGGTACGCGAAATGCAGACAGAAGGGACAGACAGAATAAGAAAGCGAGCACCAACAGCATACCGACTATACACGCACACGTCACCCCTGACACGTATGTAATTGCCTAGATTCGGACTGTGCAAAAAAGGTGAAAACACGTCGAAAGCCGGGACGAAAACAGCTGTTACGCGGATAGCGGATTCCCAGAGTGAACTCTCGTGCGCTCGAATCAATGGGAACGAAGAACGATGCATCGAAGAAAATACTGCAGGGATTTGAATATAATAACCCGCGACAAACGCAATAAAAAAAAATGTTTTCGAAAATTTATTTCATGTACCCTACTCTTCTATTTTCTATTTCAAATCAAATACACTTATAATATGTTCTAGTTTCTAAATTTAACTATAATACTTGGAAATAACGATTTTGCTAAAATATTAATTCAGTTAAAACAAATATAAAAATAATTTTATTGAATCATTAAAATAATAATTATAATTAGGATATTTAAATTGGTTGTTAAAACGTCAAAACTGCTCGTCATAGTTGAGATCCCTCTGTAATTATTTTGATGGTCCAACAAAATT